CTCTTTTCTCTATTAGACTATATAGAAAGAAAGTTTTTTTTAAGCTTACTATATGGCTATGTAACGTCGTGATCAGAACTTTTGGTACACCCTAAGTATCACGATTGATACCAGCAATAAGTTTTCGATGACAACTGCATTTGTAATCTAAGAATATTTTTGTAGGAAATAAGAAGACAAGAGAAGATTTCTTTTTTAACATACGCCTTGTCGAATAGTAGCAGAAGGTGCACTCATCTCTTTGGTTGTTTCACGCATTCGAGCTGAGCGCATTTGACGGCATAATAGATGTACCTAGAATTTAAGAATTTATTTATGTTTTCTTTTGCATTGAAATTCTATATTTTATCTTCATCAAGCACGATAATATATTTCATGATTTATCATATACATCGAAAAGTTTGGCTTGAGTCTATGGAAGATTATCAGCAGGAGATAGAAGTGGATCATGAGACATGTGTTATGTTTACGGTTAGCTCAAGTGAGGGAATGTGATCATCTGTTTTTGAGAAAACTATTGTTTTCTTTCAATGAGACCTACACAAATTTTTCGGTTTGTCTCCGACATAAGCGTACATGTACATATCTAACAACAGATTCTCGCACTTTCTTTCCTAAGATTTTACCAAAATCATTATCGATTTTTCTGGTATATATAGAATAGACTGTATGTTTTCAGGATGATTGACCTGACAATTGGATCTTAATTTGACTGTGTGTGATTCAATGAGAATTTAGCAAAATATATTAGTATCCCATATGATTTCATCAGAATCCAGGTAATGGAATTAATCACACGTCCCTATGATCAGAAGTCATGAGAGATCCGTGAGCGTCTTCGTCAATCGGATTTATCCATCTTTGTCATCAAAATCTAAACTCTTGCAATCTTTCACATCTGAATAACTTCTCACAATGAAACTTCTGGGAGCATCTAGCAGTAGTAGAAGGAAAAATGTTACATCTGAAAAATTTTTCGTGTATGAGTTCCTATGGACTCAAGATCGTTTAGATATTCTTTAGCTCTGCTAGAATCATCCTTGTAAACAGTAACAACTTCTGTTCCAAGGCAGATTCGTTTTGTGCAATGGTCTACATTCTACTTCTTCTGTCTTAAAGTCATTGCTCATTCTCAGTATATACTTTACCATTCATAGTTTTTTATCATCTAGCGAAAAAATTTTTCAGAAAATCTATTTTCTACAATCATGTTTGTGTTTAGCTGATAGAAATACCAATACATACATGTTTACAAAGAATATAATTAGGATCTTCAGTTCATATATTAAAAAAATCGAGTTAAAGCTTTCTCATAGTTTTTTCAAGATGTTGAATCCAGGTGAAAAGACATATCTAGTACAAGAAAAATTACATTTCGAGCAAAAGATCCTCAATCAATTTTTGCTGCTTGTAAAAAAAGCTTATTCTTGATGTTTACTTTCTATAACCTATCGGTTTAGACACTAGATACACATACGATCATTTTCAATCTGATTGTTCTTCTTGGAAAGGTTCTCAGCATCTCGACAGATGATTACATACAGTTAATGTGTATTTTCTGATATATTTGGAAAAAATAAGTAACTGCTCATGATCTGTTTATCTTACTTCTTCTTGTTTACGCTTAATAATCATTTCATTGTGTTCAGTTAGCACGTAATGTTCGAATTTTATTATCCTTTATAACATCGACTTCGTGTATTAATCTTGTTTTATCGAATTGGGGTCCGCATGGACCCCAGGTTGACAACAAGTGACAGTCTTTAAGGTTGTCGTGTCAGGATTAAATTAATTTAAAAAACTCATCTCTCTTCACTTACTTGTTGATAGACAACTTTTAAGAAGATTTGATATCGGACTACGTTTTCGAAGTGCATTACTAACATCATTCATACGTGATAATCGAAATCTATAATTATTCATAAATCTTATTAAACAAAAAATTTGATTCCTCTTACTGAATGTCGTCACTTTCTGTTAAACATTGAATTAATATTTGATCATAATTAAATGTCATATCATTCATTTCTCAATGATTACGAACGTTTTCTAAATCATATTTTAATGTTTGCGATACCATATTTGTTTCATTTATTGAACGTTGTTTTGTATATACATATGAACATATACATTCAAGTTCTTGATTTTATGCACTATGGCTCGCTTGATCAAATTCACTATGAAATTGTTTCTTATTAAGAAAATAAAAATTCGATTGATTTAGTTTACGGATAATAAATGTTCATTCTTATCAACTAATGCACGTAAATGCTCAATTTTCATTTGTAATTGTATGGTTTATGTACTATGTTTGTCTTGATTTACTTTAACACGAGTACGTATATTACGTGCACTTTGTGCATCATTAAGTGTACTTTTTGTTTCAGAAAAATCACGATCAACTGATGAAATACTAGCTCTCATTAATGTTCGACTATAAAATAAAAGTTTAATTTGATTTAATATTCACAAACATCTGTGTGTAGCTATTTCCACCTAATGAATCTTGTAATAAACGTGTTAATATTGAATCACGATACGGTACATGCGCTTCTTTTCTCATTGGATCACCTAAGATTAATCTGACATTTCCAAGGACAAGCTAAATACAATAATAATCAATCATTGAATAAATAAAAAGTTCTCCAATACGAACCAAACTACTATTAATACTTTATCTTTCTTTAACACGTTGACCTGTCTCACCTGTTCATTGTAAACTTTCTGAGCCAGTTAAATCAGCAAAATGTATTTTAGCATGAATTTGTTCCCACAAATTTGGATTTGGTGTCTGAATTAATAATTTAAAGACAGATATATTTTAAAAATATAGTTTTACTTACAGATACTGATTGAATAGCACGTTCAAATTGTAAATTTACAGTAAATATGGTATGTGATCGACTTGATACACTGTTCATAAGTGTTGATGCTGTTGTTCGATTAAGAGCACCTTCTTTCAAGCAATCAAGTGTCTACAAGTAAAAAGAAAATCAAATAGTAACATATGATAAGTATTCACTAGTTCAACTGCATACCAAGTCATCCCATTCTCACTGGACATTGATTTCTCTGAGTATCTGTCTGATCGGATGCTAGCACAACTGACTCTGTTGTACACCTACCTTGTGAGTATTAGAATAACTAAGGATGAAATCACCGCAAAACTACAAGTTTCTCTAACTAAAACACAGATCAGGGACGTACTGAGAGAAGACTGATCATTTCCACAAAGACTTAAACATCTGGAGAAGGGAATTTATTTACTCATTTTCACAAGTCAAAATATGCCTTCTTTTCGATAACTCTTATGTATGTTATTTCGATGTTGCATTCATACTATAAGATAGTAATAACTTGGAATTTTCACTTCGTTAAGAAACCTCATGCGCGGTTGTAACAAATCGTGCAATTATATCCGTAATTGCTATTTCTCCATTGCTGTTTTCAAATACCACAGGTTTAGCAGCATTTTTTTGAACGAAAACGGATGTTTTTATTAATAAATGAATCATAAATAGTTTCATTATAAATCTATTCAAACAAGAAATTGACAATAGAAAACTCAAGATCAATTCTTTCGATATTTACTTCAATAAATTGACATGAAACTATACATTTTGGTAGACTAATTTCTATGGATTCTGTTTCACATTCATTACTTCTATATCGTTGAAATAAATGCATAATAGTACGAGGTATAATACCTTCTTTAGACGGATCCATATATTCAAGTTTACTACCTATTATAAACGTTTTTCTAAATGAAATAAATCTTCATAACAATAAAAAGTTTTTTTTCACAAACATTTACCTAGAACCATTTTGACCATAAACAAGTATAAACGCAATATAACCTTGAAAATATCCTTGAATCTTGTCGTAAATACATTCACGATAAAGATCTTGATTAAATTCTGGTAAAAAGACATGATCAAATATAAAAGCTATACTATTAGCTAAAAAATAAATTCATTTGTAGCACGTTTGTAAATCCACACATGTTGTTGATATAATTCGTCTTCTTGACTATTTGATAATGGACGAACACTATAAAGAAATTTGTATTGCAACCGAAGATTTATCAGCATTTACATCTACTGAATAACAAACCGAGAGTCGAAGAACATTATTTTTTGTAATTTTTTTTTGTTTTTTTGTAATTTTTTTTTGTTTTTTTTGTTATTTTTTTTTCTGAATGAGTAATTTAATGTCTAAAAAGAAAGAAAAATGAATGCAATAATCAAAAACAGAAAATCGAAGCCGTACTTTATATATCTTCATCTTCGTCGGGTAAAATCCGACAAACACGAAGAGGTTTTCGAAAATGTTCTTTTTTTTTTCTGTTTATTCGAGCTTTAATTAATCTATATTTTAAAGCATAAATTTCCATTTTATATCTTTGTGGAACAGCTTTGACTTGTTTCTGTAATCTGTTCATCTGAATTCTTAGATTCTTATTTTCATTTTTTATATTGTTATTTTCATTTTTTATATTGTTATTTTCAATTCGTAAATCACTTAATTGAAACATATGATCCAATTTGAGACTTGCTATTTGACTTTTCAACTGATTAATTTCTGAAGACATTCGATTGATTTGTTCAGCTAACTGAAAGATGAAAAACAAAGCTAGAATATTTTTTTTCTCTGACATTTTTAATTCGTGAACACAACAACGATATTAACTCATGATATGACTAAATGAAAATTATGTTTCAAATAGAATGGTTATTTATTGCTTTTAGAATGTTTTGTACTTCTCTTGCTGTTTGCGTGCTGAACTTTCCGTGTGTTTATCGTTGCTGTGCTCAACATTCCGGCTTCTCATAGACTTTATAGGAAATGTATAACTTACATGGTTTGTTTCGGCCTTTTGTTGATAATATTTTTTTTTATATTTTTCTTCCTAAAAGCATAAAATCGATTCATTCATTTTTTAAATTATTGGAGTAAAATAAACAGATGCAAACAGTGAGGAAAAAATGCGAAAGAAGTAAACAGTGCTTGGTAACTGCAGATGATTCATTAGAGACGAGGGACAAGTAGCTTAAATTTATTTTATAAGTATTCATTCTTTTTCGTTTCTTTTTCAGGAAAGAGTGTTCAACATTATGTGATTCATTACATGGACCACCCATGTAAAAATCTTTAAAAATTGAACGGTTTTAACGAAAAAAGATGTTACATTTTTGATCATGAAAACGCTTTAAAAATTTGCTTTTAACGGAAGTCCACGCATGTTTTTCCGTTAGGCACAATTTAACGTCAAATAATTCATGAAATTGCTTTAAAAATAATTTTTTAACGCGTTTTCATGGTCAAAAATGTAACATCTTGTTTCGTTAAAATCGTTAAATTTTTAAAGATTTTTACATGGGCAGGCTTGTAATAAAAAATACGAATGTGCAGAAAAAAAATCATGCCAAATAATAAACGTGCAAGAGCAAGAGTTACATCATTACTTACGTCTTCAGAAGACGATTGTTACGGGCCTGCCCTCACACTGATTCATATTATTATTCTTTTATTGTTTCTTTCGTTCTTCTCTTCTTTTTTCTTTATTTACATGATATCACGTTTGTTGTTATGATTTGATCTATCTTTTCCTTTGTTCTAGTGATATCATGTCTTCTAGTCATCTCTCTCTTTTTGTTTTCTATATATATATATATATACATAGTTCTTCTTCTGTTTATAAAAGTCAGATCGAGTGATGTTATATGTTTTTTCTCGTTATCTTTTTTAATGTACTTCCATCTTTAAAATAAAGATTTCAAAACATTACTTCTCTTTGACTCCTAATAACGATGAAAATGCAGTGTTAGGCATCAGCTATAAAATAGGATGAATTTTAGAAGAGTTTTAAAAAGCAAAATTCTTGCAGAATTATAAAAAAAAAAGCTAGCCAGCAAGCAAGAGTGAATATCACGACAACCAATTCACATAGATATGAACACATAAGCGTAAAAAGAGAAGGGATTAATGAGAAAAGCAATGTTCTAGGAAGTGCACATATATGGATGAGGATTCTACTAAAATATAACTTACGATTACTCTAACTGCTTGTTTGCACATTGTATTTGTATCTGCAAAATTATATAAAACAGTTTAATAGAAGAAATGTAAGGTTATAAATGCTTTTGTGAAAAGCAATTCTATAATAGTATCGAAACATCGCAACAATAATGACACAACAAACCACAAATCTTACAGTTTTATCAATGACTAAAGAAAAATGCTGAGAAAAATGTCTTTCAACTATCTACAACACACAGGTGAGGAACTGGATAAAAGAACCTGGCCGACCTGCCGAGAGAGGCACAAACCACAATTTTAAGTCCCTATTTGTGACAGACGATAACTTTAAAGGCTGATCCTTCATGCTTAATTCCAGTTTTATACAATGGAGAAACAACGAACCTGAAAATTGAATCTTATAAAGTATTTTGAGATTTCTCTCAGTATAGTTATTTGATGGCTCTTGAATATGATTCAGATAAGCACGATCGTAAATGATCGTTTACGGACCCAGGCCAAACAATCACATGGTTAGATCTTATAAAACCTACGTCTAATCTTGTAAGATCAGCCGCCAATTGTACAGAACAGCGCAGTCTCAGAAATTTTACACGAAACCGTATAAAAAGATTCTTGCAAGATCTTGCTATCTTGTAAGACATAAAAGGGTGTCCCAAAAGTTTTGACCCCTCTTTGTAAATTCATGTTATCTACTTAGGGCATACCAAAAGTAGTGAGAGTTACACTTTAATACCGTATAGTAGACTTAAAGAAACTTTCTTTCTATATAGCCTGATAGAGAAAGAAAAGCTCTATCTTTCTATGCTATTC